CGTGATCACTAGTCTACAATATCCATAATGCTCGCTCTTGTGTCCTGTAAGTATTTCCTTGGTTTGGCCTAGGGTGTGCGTATCATTGCTTCATTGGTTGCTATCTAACACCATTTAGGCCTACACAATGGTTCCCGCTAGCCAAGGACACTTAAGCCCCAGCATTTGTGATAGGGCCGTTGGTAATCTGTCTGAGGGACATCAGCGTAATGTCAATGAGAACAGCATCATCTTTCTCGGCTTTGCTGCCGAAAACGGGTATGGCTATAGCGAGCTGCAACTTTACAAGCAAGGCCTTCTTTCTAGCAGTCCCGAAGGAAGCAGAGATTTTACTCTAGACGATCCCCCAGGCCTGATCTCTGCTAGAGAGGAAATCATCAACAGGAAAAATGACATCGTCTACTTCGACCATGACACTATGGAAAGGCTCGAGCTCTTCCAGACCGGACCGCTTCAGCAAATCGCAGATGTGAAAACCGTCGCTGTTCACTGGCGGTCGTTCTGCACCGGTGGAGAACTAAAAGAGAGCCTCACGGCCGTCTACAGCCGACTCCGCAACGTCGATACAATCGTAATCGTCGTCGATCACCGTGGGCGCCGCTCATCTGATAACACGAGTTACTACACGCTACCGCTTGGCATCCATGACATGCCTAACGAAACCCTCCTCGAATACGAACAGCAAATAGTGAATTGGTGCACTATAGGCCAGAGGATTCAACAGATGATTCGAAATAGCGCATTCTGGGAGGAGTGCAACGGCTCATACGCTCTCGAGCAGATTCCCCCGATCAGAATAAACCCCCCTCGCATCCCCCAGATCTATCTGATGCGGTTTTCTAGAGGTGGGGACCAGGAAGGAGATCTTGACCTACCGCCCCAGGTGCCTTCATTGGCGCGCAGTCTTGCTCCTGAACCGGCTGATCTCGATGAGCTTTGGAATCCAAAACCGCCGACGGATCCTGTCTTTACAGACTACAGCTTGCGGAATCTTCTTGATTGATCGTAAGACCAGGTCGCGACATTTGGCGAAAAGCGGGAATATAATTCGTTTAGCAGTGGCTTTGGCATGGATTAAGAAGTAGCGCGGTTGGAATGGCGGTTCAAATGGGGCTTGTTTTTGTGCGAGCGCTGCATATTGTAGTGTTTTCAATACAGCGATTTATCATTTATGAATCCTTCATCATACGATAGTGATGCCGAGGGCTTTTCTCTTTCATCAGAATAAGTTCAATTCTAGTTCTCCCCCCATATTTACGCCTCCTCGGGAGTGAATTCACAAGGCAGTTTAATACACCGCATGGCCAGCTTCTCACATCCCAAGGCATAGATGATGTCTCTCGAGTAGAGCATTACCCTCAGCCCACAAATTAACCACACACTACCCACATCAAAGGAAAAGAAAGAACACCATACATCGTCATGCATCAATCATTGCCTGCTGGTGAATTATCATAAGAAAATCGCATCATCGAATAAAACTTCCTCGAGGGGGTCGATCTCGATCTAGACTCAATCTAAGAGCCTTGCCACGTAGATACCCTGTTTGAAACAAACCCCTCCTCTTTGCAATGATGTAAGGGGACATACACCTGGGCTCGGTGGGATGGCAAAAGGCCCAATAAAATACCAATGCGCCCGATAAAATATTCTAGCACACGTTGACAGCGCCAATCGTCACTGGATTCAAGCCGAGGCCCATCATAGCTAGACAGCCCTCAATGCGACCTTCCTCGCGACCAATGATTAACATCATGTCTATCACGAGCTAATATTCCACCGGACGACGTCGAGCAGGGTCCTTGCAATTCACAGCCCGTCATCGTTCTAGGCCGCTCGCGGCTTTTCCTTCATTTTGCCAGAGGATGCTAAGGGCCTCGAGAATGGATATCCTAAATTCTCATAAAATCCCAAGCAACACTATATGGGTTTGTGTACGCCGTCATAGTAGCTGCGCCATTAATCTACGTGATATATTTCGTTTCCCTCGGATAGTGATGCGTTCAATAATGTCTCTGCTGCGAGCGAGCGCGCAGGCAGCGCTGAAGCAGCAATATTCAGTGTGGGTGATTAGTTTACCTATCCCAGCCTCAGATTTAAGCCTATAGGTTGCATGCTGTTTTCATTAGGTATCATGGCCGATGAGTGGAGGTTGTTTATTCGATAATGGTGGGTGTGGTGACAACTCAGTGGCCATGTAGGTGGCCCAATCCTACAAGCCACGATCACAGGGGCTTCCACGTTGTGCGTAGACGTCCACTTCTAATAGGTCACCATCTCTAGCAGAGTAGACCACGAAGTCGAGCATTGCTAAAGTGTGGCTATATTGGGTGTGGCTAGGATAAATACGAGCGATGAGTCTGTATAGTCTTCCGGCCTTCAACGTTTATTGCTTAATCCACGGTTGACTTGATTATGGAGAAGGAATAGTAGGTGCTGGGAAGCGACCGCTTAAGGTAGATCGGATGCGGCACAATGACCAGGGTCGGCTCAGGTGTATTATGGCCAATTGTATAGTAACCAATTCTGTATTCTTCCGGTGTTGATCCCGACTGCGCTGCTGCGTTATCTACCAAGTTTAGCATGTCAGCAAAGAGAAAGAAAAAGAAAATACAGAGCCGATTGGCTAGAGAAGGCTTACACGCAGTAGTATACGGCACCGTATCCGTACCAAGGTGGCGCTATAGACATATCTAGATGGAGAACATTAGATCAGGTATAACCAGGGTCTACCCCAGATTCTCCGCTTTGGATACTATTTACCATTGTCTCAACCTGGCTTCGCAGGCGGGCGACTAATTAGCAACAATAGATATCATCGTGATGTCCGTTCAGGAAGCTCTCAGAGGCGCCTGGGAAACAGGATCGCCTAGCTCAGTATCGAGCAAAGCTCTCTTGGCTCTGGGCGTACTTTATCTGATAGCGTATCTGATATACACCTTCTATTTCCATCCTCTTCACGCGTACCCCGGTCCGCCACTCTCTGCGATTACTCGGATCCCCTTTTGGATTGCCTATATCCGGGGTCATGAAGTCAAGTGGATGAGGAAACAGCATGAGAAGTACGGACCTACCATCAGATTTGGTCCTGATGACATCAGTTTCACCGACGCCCAAGCTTGGCGAGACATATACGCTACGCCCAAGGGCAGGAAAGAGAATATAAAGGAAAGTTGAAACTGACAAGCCATATATACCATTATACCAATATTCTTCTAGGAACTCAAAATCCACGGGGATCTTCCGGATATTAAATATTTGAACACTGAGTCGGACACTGCTCGTCATGCTACCGTTCGACGTGTATTCACGCCTGCTTTCTCTGAGCAATCGTTGAGGAAGCAGGAACCTTTATTCCAGAAATTCGCTAATCTTATGGTCGCATGTGCTCGTAAGAACAGCACCGCCGATATGACTCAGCTGTACGACTTCACGACATTTGATGTCATGGCTGAGTTCACATTTGGAGAATCATTCGGAATGCTTGAAAACAATCGATACTCGGAGTGGGTAACTATGAGCTACAGCGCTGTGAAGGTGAGTTCTAGACCGCTGCCTGGCTTTGTGATGTTTCCCGGAACTGACCGTATCCCACAGATTGTGCCCGCACTACAATGCGTCAACTTCTACACCTTCACCAGGAATCTATTCCATTTCCTCGAGCCTAGTTTTATGAAGAAGATGCGTATGGATTATCTTAACCATACTATCAGTCGCGTTGACAAGCGACTTCAGCAAGGATTGAATCAGCCCGATCTCTGGAACTGTGTAGAGGGTTCTGATGTGCTCACTCCTGGTGAAGCCTATGCTAACGCAGAGTTGTTCATGGTCGCTGGGACGGAGACTACCTGTAAGCCGTACTGGAATAGCTACAAGAGCATTGCTGACGACCGGATCCAGCATCTCTCCTCACAGGATTGACTTATTACCTTATCAGAAACCCAGATAAGATGAAGATCCTAACTGACGAAATCCGCGGGGCATTTGGCTCTGATGCAGACATTACGTTTGAGGCTCTGCGTAAACTGGAATACCTGAACGCTTGTTAGTCAGATTTCGTTCAGACTCTGAGTCTTATGGCTAACGTTGTCACACCTGTAAGGCATTCGCGAAGGCCTGCGCGTCTATCCACCTGCACCCTCTGCTTTTCAGCGCGTGATACCTGAAGGTGGGAACCCCGTGATGGGCAAATGGTTCCCAGCAGGGATTCGCGTCTCTGTCCACCCGACGGCTGCGAACCTCTCGCCAGTAAATTTCAGGTATGTCCAACTCAAGTCCGCGCCTGCATCTCCACGCGTACGCGAAGAGATTATGTATAACTGCTTATCATCTTACTAAAGGGACCCTAAAGAGTTCGTCCCCGAGCGCTGGCTAGGTGACCCCAAGTATAAGGATGATGTTCGTGAGGCTCACCAGCCCTTCTCATTCGGGCCTAGGAACTGCCTGGGCATGAATATGGCCTGGCACGAGATGCGCTTGCTACTGGCGAAGCTAGTATTCAATTTCGATATCTCATCGGACGTAGGGCCTGAGTGGAGGGACCAGCGCACCTATATCCTTCGAGAACGCAAACCGCTGATCTGTCAGTTGAAGGATGTGAGGGCAACAGCCTAAATGAAGTGAACCATTGAATATGAAAGCAGTAACACGAACGGAATCGCTATGATTAACGTCGACATTCGAAAACGGAATCGAAGTGTGCATTAGTGCCAAATGGAAAGACCCTATAGTGGCTCGGCTTGTAACATACGCGTAATTGCGCAAGTATCTTAGCTATGCACACTATATATACCCTACAGTCTGATATTTAGGTTACTCCTAGCACCTTATTTCTCCTACCTATTAGATAGGGCAGATCCTCGTGCACGGAAGATTTTTTAAATTTTGTAGGAATTTCTTCAAAGGTTGCGTAACTCTTTAACACCCCACCTCTGCCCCACGTCTGTGAGAGTCAAACACAAGAATAATCTCCACTCACACCATCCAATGAACAAACCCGTGGCTAGGTGGCGGAGTGGTTAACGCGGTAGACTCGAATCGTCAAGATTGGCGATGTTTAGATATCTACTTCCTTCGGGAGCGTCTGTTCGAATCAGGCCCTAGTCGATCTTTTTTTTTTTTGCCAAAGTCGGGACGTGGTCGCACATTTTTTGTTGAGATAATAACATGTGGTGTTATGTTACTTCCCCTATATGCTATTTAGCATAATTGGTTTTGTACCTCCCATCCTTCCAAGTCACCTGATTATGAGGACTGCATATGACTCAAGCCATATCGACGACGTTAGAGGTTAGGTGTTTCGGAAAGGATGGAATTCTGGACTTTATCGTTGTAATTCTGTTGTCGTTTTCTAAGATGGTATACTCAACGATAGTATCGAATTCTTAGAATATAATCAAAAGAGAGGGGTGGGTGTTCGTATATATACATGCCCATGTCAAAGAGGGAAAACTATTGGAGGGAAGAGGACCGTCGTGGGAGAGGAGGCTTTGGTTCTTCCTTCAGGTACAAGTTTCCTTCTCTTGTAGAGAATAGTAGAACAGGAAGGGTACGGGTTCAGCGGGACTGTAGTTGGTAGGTACATTGGTGTCCTACGATAACAGCCTGAACAATGAGTTGCTCAGAATTGTAACAAGATAGAGCGGGAGTTTGAAGAATAAAGAGGAGATCACATACACACATGTGTAGAGTGCCACCTCAGTCAGATCAATGATGCTATTTGACAAGATCTTGTTACAGCAGCAGCAACACTGGGCACGCCAAGAAAGCGTTCTTTTGCTTGCATAGTACTCAAAGCTCAAGCGGTGAGGTATCTAGTATGCACATCTCCTCTAAAGGGTGAGATGATTGAGTTATTCCTGATGCCATTACGTGGCCAGAAATCTAAGTTCTAGGTAGATAGGTAGATACCTAGGCAGTGTCCATGCAGTGCTGAAAGTTATGAGGGAAGAAACTAAGTGTGGATTCAGGAGTCGCCGTATCTACTCGAGCTCCGTCTGCCTAATAGATTGGAAGCGCATGTGCTGATTATTAGGATATACCTAGGTTAGTAGAAAGTGCGAAGTGCCAGCCGTTATGCATACCTAGCTAGGTATGTAGTTCCTACTATAGCGATTTTTATGAGTCACTATCTACATGACTTCAGGGGTATGATTCACCGGCACGGCAACCTTCCGCTCCCTGGGAATCGTCGTCACTATCGCCAACGCCACTTACTCTTACCCGGTGATAAGTACGACATGTCTAAAACATTTTTGGCATGTTTGCGAATTATAACGCATTCGTTTAGCTCTATGGGATAATCCTGACGTCGTGGTCGACATGACCGGTAGAGTGCATGCTCGAATAAGTGAGCGGAAGAAAAAGGCAGTGCCAGGTCCAGCTGGGATGGGAAGGGGATGCATGTTGTATTTCTGGGATTTATGCGGAATGTATGTATTCTATTCTCAGTCTTCTGGTTCAACGATTCTCTCGAGTAGCATCGAGAATTAGAAACAATGAGTTCCATTCCAAATACCAACCTAGCCTAGCCCTCACTAAGCTTCTACATGTTAGCACGTAAGGAACTACGCTCTCCATCCCGCCCCTGAGAATATTTCACTCGTATGAAAGGGCTCTGACTTTTCGTTCCTAGAGTGGGAGGAAACAGACTGAGATGACAGTTGGAGAAATTTTAGAAACTCTATATTAATGAAGACACGTTGCAATTACTAAAATGCCTCTAGTCGGAGGCGTGATGATTCTAGATAATCAGGATGCAAGTGGCTTGAAGGTCTTACCTACTTGCTGCAAGACAAGGGATCGTACCTTCTTTCGTTACATCTAAATATGACTTACTTTTATTGTTAAGAAACCAGATAGTTTTAGGAAACGCGGGGTGTAAAGTCTAAGGAATTCTAAACATGGGACGTACTAATCCTATTAAGCAGGCTTTGCGTTTACCCTTAATGGATAGCAAGGGGTGTAGACATTGATAGGCATCGGGGTTTTCACACTCTAGAAGCCTCGACCTACTGGGGCGTTAGGTATCTACTACTCATTTCATTTCCCCGATGATTCACCTTCCCTATGCATTGCCCTCGCCCGCCTCTGAACCCACTCCTCGCAGCTAATCTCACTATACTTCCTCTCTTCACCCTCAGCAACGCAGCTGTCTAGCACGCCACAGCTCTCGTTGAGATTGAACCCGAAGAAGAACGGCATGCTGATCCTCTCCTTGCCGCTGTAGTTCTGGGCGCGGTGCACGGTGCTCACGTAGCGATCGTTCGTGATGCGCTGCATATAGTCCGCGATGTTGACGACGAACGTCCCAGGGATCGGCTTCGCGTTGATCCACTGGCCCTGGCGATTCAGCACTTGCAAACCGCCGTTGCTGTCCTGCCAAAGGATCGTGAAGAGCTGGAAATCGGTGTGCGAGCCGATAGAGACTTCTGCGTCTCCCTGCCCTCCTGACACTTGTTGCGCAGAGACCGGTAATGGCGGATAGTAGTTCAACGCGAGTGCCGCGTCAGGATGTGTGAATTTCTCCGCGAAGAAGTCCTCGGGCAGATCAAGCGATAGCGCGAAGGACCGCACGAGAGCCCGCGCCAGGGCGAGACAAGACCGCCAGTAGCGGATGATGGCCTCCTTAAAATGAGGCAGGTTGGCCGTCGCCTCCCAGTAGAACTCCTCGCATCTCAGATACCGTGCGATGTGAGGCGGGATGGCGGCCGGATCGGGCACCGACGGGTCATACCGCGGGTCGTACGTCCAGGAGAAGGTCTCACGCACATCGACCGACTCGAACGGGTTGATGCGCTGCGATTTAGGCGGCTTGTAGCCATTGAAATACTTGGACTTGCTGATGTGCGCGCGCTCCTTGATCTCCGCCGGCTGCCGGAAGAACTCGAGGAGCCTCTCGCAGGCCGCCTCCGGGATTCCGGGCGGGATGCCGTGGTTCTTGATGTAGAAGAACCCGTTGTTGGTTGCCGCGTCCCGGATCTGGCGAGCCACATTCATGCGATCGTCATCAGAGGCGCTGAAGATGCCAGAGACGTCGATGAGCGGAATCTCGGATGGGAGCGCATCCCGTAAAGCAGTCTTCAGGACAGTTCGGGAGACGGGTCCGTTGCCGGAGGAAAGCCGTAATTGGGTTGTAGGGGTAACGCCCCCAGGGACTTGCATCGTATCAACACTGACGGCCGTCATGGGTACTAGCTTATCACGTGTGTCACTTATTGCAGTATGTAATATTTAACGCTTGGAACCTGGTACCATTCTTGTACTTAGATGGCACGACGGTAATATGTACATGAAGTCTACGAGCTGTGCTCCGCGGAATAGACGGGGGTCGGTTAGCAATGTAAATCAACCCATGCAGGAGATAATAAATGCTGAGTTCGGCGGTCTCCGTAACTTAGCTAGTACAAGCTCCCGAGAGGATCTCGTCGAGTGAAGGCTACTAGCAAATGAATCCCTATACAATCAGCTGCAGATATGTGGTACCCCTTGCTTTACATTTGACCCCTGATATCCAACGTCATTCGGTTGTTGGTATGTCTACTCTGAACACAGAAAGAGAGAGGGAAAAAGAAAGAAAAAGGCAAAAAAGAGATCTGATTTCGCCCGGACTTGAACCGGAGACCTTCAGTGTGTTAGACTGACGTGATAACCAACTACACCACGAAACCAAGCTTGTTCGATGGTAGGCGGACGGTACGAAGGGCATTTGACGTGCAGAGAAGGCGCGAATGACAATTGCGATGTTGCAGGGAAAGTATGAAGGATAGCCTATGGCTACCCCGTACAGGAACTCCATCCCTCAGACTAGCGTGATAAACCAACTATGCTATAAAACCATGTGAAGAAGAACCATCGTGACTATCTGAATGGATTTGAGTTGATCTAGGCTAGATACTTGTGGGCCGTGGCTCTATGTAGGTATCGCACATGACTTCGTGGCATTTACGTGTGCAGCTAGTACACGTAACGAGGTGAGGGTGGAGAGAAAAGGGGTTAAGGGCCCAAAAGCCTAGCTTGCGAGACATTTTTGATGAGCGTGCGACCTTATGCCTTCCTCGTGGCCTAGCGTGGCCTTGTACTCCAGTTGTTTCAGCACGTTGAGCAACCATCAGAGAAAGATCCCGTGCGCAGCTCTGATTACTACATCGTACGACGTGAGCTCTCCGACCATATTATATTAATTATGCTTGATAGTCCTAGCGACATGTGGTGAACGGGACGCTCCAGAGCGGCTGGGGATAAGAATCCAGATAGAACATGGAGATCTACTATAGCTAGAGAAGAGTGGGCTTTAAGAAACCTAACTACCACAAGATGATACTTGCCAAGCTAATCACTGCTCGCATGTCTCTGTTTGCCCTTTCTTTAGGCAACCATAAAATGTAAACAAAAGTATCTGGCGCTGCTCACAGAAACTAGGTGTTGTTGTATGAATACCTTGGTAGATCGAGATAGCTATGTAGGTTAGATGAAGTTGTACTATCGCTATATATGACCTGGGGACTAAGAACTATCTATGCAGGTACATGAATGTAGCAAACGTGTGCCAGCACGCTCCAGCAGAAAGCGGCTGTGATAAGTAGGCGATTCAATGACCATGTCTAACTCCTATCATACATCAACAACAGTAGGCTCTAATAACACCTACTACCCCTATAACTGCCCCCGAGTACATGATAAGAAGTGAACAACCGGGGTATAAACCTCGCCTAAATGTTAACACAAAGGTAAAGATAGGGTTCGTATATTCATTATGCATATACCGTATAGCATGTTCCGCGGATTTTATGTTCCCTCGAGCCTGCTCAAGTGGTACCTCGTCATCTCATCGTTAGACACTCATCAGCGAGGTCGACGTTATATATAGATATACATTCATTGCCAAGACCCGGCCTGCGTAGGATCCTGTAATACTGGTGGCATGCCAAAATTATGTGCCCCTTGGTGAGGCATAAACCCACCGTACTCTTGAATAAGGTAATTCCAGTCCATTTCGCCGCCAAAATTAACGTCGGGAAAAACCATGGAAAATTGTCTGTTAACTTCCGCAGGCTGCATGTGGCTGAACATGTCGGCAGGGTTATACATTGGGGCATTAGGCATGA